TAGAGTCCTTGAACTGGTTTTTTGGAACATGGGATAAGAAAAGTATCTTTTAAATGCTGTAGGTGGGACTATGTATTCTAAAAATGAGACAAGCATACTGAAAATCAATTATTTCTGCTTTTCAACCCCACTCAATTAATCTCGCTGAGAGATATTGAACATCCATTATTAATTTCTACTCCTCGCTAGCTTATGAAATCCCCCTTTCCATATCTGTTCAGCTTTTCATCACCTGGTATTTATTCCAGCTGAGGAACATTTCACATTATCTCTTAATTCCACTGATAAAATTCTATTCGTAGAATATCTATTATTTTAATATCCAAGCATTTCTATTCTATTCCTCAAGTCAAATTATTGTTTTCTTATTCTTGTTATCATTTCCTTTACATTATTCATCAATCTTTAATAAATCAGTTCATCTCGATGAATAATAAATTGTAATATGTTCTAGGTTCTGTCACTGCCATTTATTTTTTGTTACCTTATAAATTGTTTCCTTTCTCACCCACTCTCTTTCCCTGTCATTTCTCTCATTCTCTCTCTCTCTCTGTATATATATATATATATATATATATATATATATATATACATGACTGTCATTCTGTATTACTCTCTCACTCTCTCCTTCCTTCTCCTTCTCTCTCTCTCGCTCTCTCTCTCCATCTCTCTTTCTTCAGGCATTGTCCGACATCTCACGACACCATCACCATGGTTGTCAAGCTTATTTTGAACAGCATCACTCTGCATTATCATAGCACGGAAACTAGGTCAAGATAAGCAATCGCCTTGATGACCCGGGTGCTCCGCGCAGCATCTGGTCAGACAAAAAAGCAAGAAAAAACATCATCTTTTGAATATTCATGAGATGAGAGCTGTGGGGTATCTCTTCCATGATGGATGAGAGAGAACTCCCCTACTCCAAATGCCACGGATCACAGGCTTTCCACAACCATGAATCTATACGGAGCTGCTGCATCAACGCTTGGAAACTGGACCACTATTACTCCTCTCTCTCTCTCACCGGAGAATTTCACCAGAGAAACTCCAGGCTGTGTTTTGTGAAACCTATGCACAGTCACTCGCTTCTTGCCCATTAAGTTCTCATTGCTTTTAACACAAGGATTGCCTTTTGATTTCAATTTTCCTTGAGGAACCCAAAAGAGGAGTGTCAATGGAAGATGGAGAATGTATAGGTGATTTTGTTAATGATATCGGTGTTAACTTTGACTTTTCCTCTATCCACTTGCAATGAAAGCAATAACTTTTGAAATCAAAATACAAGTATTATCACCACAAAGATTAAATTTCATTGATTGCATCAGTTCTTGAGGGAAAAATTCTTCATGAAGGATCTATCAACATTAGCATCAATCACCCAAATGAACTTGAAATTCTAACACCGTAAATAAAAACACAAGCATAATCAGAGAACGTAGATGAGGACTTCTCATCAGGGTTTGACAATACTAATGGGGAAAGGGAGATGAAAGTCTCCGTCAACATTTGCCAAGTGCCCTCACATTTGGCCGCCTCTGCCCTCCCTTCTCCCTAATGGCAAGAGATACACAAAGGAAGCCATTTTGTCAATGTCACCGAGGAAAATGTCATAAAATATCTCACATTCTTCCTCCTGCCCTTGCTTTCCTAAAAAGGACTTGCAAGTTTTTTTCTGCAGCATGCATAATTATCATTATCAAAGATTGCCAATTTGATTTGACAATCTGCTTATGTTCGTCTTATTGCGGCATTGGCAGAGGAATTGAGTTGGAAGCGATTACCACAATGTTGGTTTCACCTTGTCTCTCTTTCTCTGTTTATTGACTTGCAGAGCTAAAACTGCAATTCTCATATTCACAATTCTGATTTATGATTTTCAAATATTTTATGAGCTTATTACAGTACCTTTCTGCAGAGGTGGGGGATATGATGGAACAATCTCGGCATGAGTTAATATCCTATCAATACCATTACTGAATACTGTAAAAAAAATGTTTGTTTTACATAAAGTTGGCATAGGATAAATTTACCTGAAATGCACATTGTTTCATTACATTACATTGATATCATGCACTATCAACTGATATTAGTTGAATATTGGATTTTCATCAGATGGCTTGAATGTTGAGGTTTTCATCCAGACAGCTTTTTTGTACGGTTTCCGATTTTGACTAGAATCAATTTTTCAATTCTTATATTGCACTTTAAGAGTAAAATATTAACAGTATAAAGAAGGTTTCTAAAAACTGTAAAACCGTAGTTTAAGAAATCGATTAGCAGACTGAAATTACAACCTGGCTTGGTGCATGAGAAAGAACATGTAAGAATGGACTAATTTATCTTCAAAGCATTCTTTAGAAAGTCAAGAAAAGAATTGCCAGATCATAAGAATTTGAATTTGAGTTGAAAGAGGGAGAAGGGGTAGCAATAAGTTTCTGTATCCACTAACTAAATGAGTTGCTACATGCTTTCTCATTGCATTTCCAATAAAAATTTAAAAATATGCCTTGTCAAAGCTGTGCATTCACAACTACCACTCGTGTCCAAATATAGCTTCCGTGTATTTTTCCCTCTTTCCTCCCGGTGTTTCTTTCTCTCTTTGCCACGTTAATTGGAGGCCTGGACGTCAGCCAAACCTTGCCTGCTTGCGAATTCATCAATCAACCTGCTCTCTGGAGCTCCCTCACGCAGGCTCCTCACAGCCAGCCTTCTCTCTCTCCCTCTCTTTCTCGTCGTCCGTCGCATGGTATTCTCTTCAAATTCACGTCTTTACCCCCCAGAAATGGTGAAGCCGTCGGAGGAGGTAAACCAGTTCAATTTTGCCTCCGTAAGACCACCTAAGTCTCTATACGCTGGACAAAACCTTCCCTCAATCTACCCTTCCTTTAACCCTTCAAAGATGGTTCCATCTTTGTATCATTTGTATCTTTATATCATTTGTATCTTTGTATCTTTGTATCATTTGTTCTTTTTCCAACTGCTTTTCCCCAATTTCAAATTTCAAGTCGACTTGTATCTTCTCTGTTCAATATCCAATTCCTCTATTCATTTTCACCCATATGACTACTACATCCAGATAGTGTCAACTATTTTCCAGGACATAAAAAAGAATTTAATACTAATGGGTTGACTTCTTCTTGGACACAACTGATAAAGTAAGGGTCCTAAGCGCACATTTCAATTGAAAGGCATTATCAACCCAATGGATATGATTTGATTTTTGGTATATCAAACATTTTCCATAGACTCCAGCTGGACTTATCTCAGTCTTGGTCTTTAATGGGTTAACATTAAAGTAGTAGAGTGGTACCACTTCACATGACATCTCCATGCTGGTAATGATTGATGATATCGCATTGCCGCTCATTCATTCATTCATTTATTTCACGAGACCAGTATAAACCCCTCTCTCATTCAGACTGGAATCATGGTATGGCTTATACATGATGTAAAAGGTCAGGGTATACACACTTTGAGATGTGAACGGTTACCAGTCTCTATGTATGCTAATGCAGTTATACCCCAACAGAACCCCCTCTGGCAGTTGTCTTGCTAAATTTATCTGACATTTTCGTGTGGCCCTGTTGTAGTTTCTGCTGGCTAGCTGCTATTATTACAACCCTAGAAACTTTGGGGAACAATGCATCCATGACTCAACAGCAGAGCAAAAGTTCAAAGATGAGGGCCTTGTTATTTAAAGTGAATTTATCTCTAGATCAAAAAGATTTTAAATACACAAACTAGAGGTAACATATTTTAACAAATAATTAATGGAAACAACAATCATTTGACTGTTTCATGTTGAATCCTGAATTTGAAGAAATAATAAATCTTGAAAAAAGAAAGAATATATATATTTTTTTAATTCTTCAAAAGACATCTTCCTTTTGATACCCATTTTTGTTTAAATAGAGCTTCTAGAAATGTTAACTCATCAGGCTTAACTTCATTTTCATTCGACACAAATTTCACTTGGTTTGAGCCCATACAGTCTTCAAAGGGTTAAATTAAAAAAAAGAGGAACTTCTTTCTACCCCATCCATCTAAAAATACTCTACCATGACAAGTTATTAGATAGGAGTAGTGGATGCTCGTGATAGAAAAGAGCCTCCAAAGAGGGTAGGGCTAGCCTTACATTTTCACTTCATTCTAACTATCTTCACTCTTCACTCTGCGACTATTTTCAGATCGGGACTCCAAGCATATGATTGCCCTGACCTTTCTCTCAGGAAATATCATTTTTACCGTTCTAGTAATTGTTTCCAAAATTAATCGCAATGCGCCTACAGCGACAGCGATCCTACATTTCATGTGCACGTGTATAATTTCATCAAAAAAGAAAATCAGCCTACGACCCAACTGTCTTCGCCTTCTCTGATTTCACTTTCTCGAGTAGAAATGAATTGTCATGATATTCATGAACTTTGTGTGATATTGAAACGTGCAAAAATAGCCAATAAAAATAAAAATAAACTACTGTTTATTTAAAGACGAGTTAAAACCTTGGTAGAGGTCGTAGGAAGGTAAATGAGCATTACATTTCCAAGGTTGGAGAATAACAACAACAAAAAGGGGCCTAAAATGTCAGATTCATGCTAGTTAGTGCGTGGGGAATAACTATTTTTAGCATGTATAAACTTTGGCTTGTTGTTAGTTGATCTAATTTCATAAGCCTCAATCAGGCAGTTTCTTTAATTTGTACCAAAGATACAAAGACAGAAAACGTTTGCCTCATAGCTATGATTGAACCTTAAACCTTGTGAAACTATACGATACAACTTTCAATTTACAAGACTTTGAGACCTTGGCAGATTCCTGTTATACTAGCATGTCGCTTCTTCACCACCTTTGTTAAAACAAAGCAAGATACACCTGGGAGGTCTGGGAGGAACACAGGTGATTGGGCACAAATATCATCATATGTATGAGAGGAGGATCCTGTAGAAGTGAGAAAAAAAATTGAGGAAAACAAAAAAAAGAAAGACGGAAGAGATGATTACCTCCTTGATGCATACTGTTGTAGTTCATAGACATATTGGGCTCCATTTTACTGGGTTGTAAAAGCTCTTTCAAAGCCGGTTTGCGAGCGAGTTCTTCTTGTGCTTTGCGGTGAAACGCTGATCCTGCAGTTTGTGTCGGAGGAGTAGCGAACACCGTTGGAATGCTTGACGAACGAGCGGTGCCTGAACACGAAGGCAGCGATGAGAGCGGCGGCAACGTCGATGAGGACGATGACGACGACGACGACCCACTTGGCAGATTGTGCCCTAGATGCGGTGAAGTAGGCGGTGGAAAGACGTGGAACAACGACGAAGATGGTGATGGCGAGGCTGTAGACGACGACGGCGACGATGATGATGATGATGCGCGTGGTGCCTTTTTTTCTATCTTAAACTTAATATGCGCCCAGTTGCTGCTTGCTGACGGGCTACCTAGCGACGATGTCGACGGCGATGGAGAGGGTGAAGATGCCGTTGATATCGACGGAGACGATGGTGGTAATAATAAAGTTGGTTTTACAGCTGACGATGTTGAAGGTGTGCAAGACACTTGGGGCTTGATGTCATCTTGTTCCGTCGACAATTGGTTGGATGCTGTAATATCATACAAGAACAAAGAGAACAAAAATAATGGTTAGAAAAAAATAAACATTGCATAGAGAGACAATTAAGAATCTGTTCCTTAGTTTGATACTCACTAGTGTAATATCTCCTTAATGTATAAAAAAAACAATAGTTATGTATTTATTAATAAATCTAATGAATAGCGAAGAATTGGTAAACTAGATGGAATTTTGACTGCGCGCAGTCGAAAATGATGCCTCCGCCATAGAGCAATTTAAACAAGTTTGGAGTTTAAATCTCCAGTGGTTCTTGAGATATCATGATAACAATCTCAATGTATGGAATTTCATAAGTTCACCTCTGTGACCCTTGACCTTTGACCTACGTGCTCCAAAATCTAATCAGATTGTCTTCCTATGGTGATACACACTATCATTAAGTTTGAAGTTTAAATCTCCAGTGGTTCTTGAGATATTATGATATGGTGATACATACTATCATTAAGTTTGAAGTGAAAATTCTCCAGTGGTTCTTGAGATATCGCGATAACGATCTCAATGTATGGAATTTCATAAGTTGACCTCTGTGACCCTTGACCTTTGACCTACGTGCTCCAAAATCTAATCAGATTGTCTTCCTATGGTGATACACACTATCATTAAGTTTGAAGTTTAAATCTCCAGTGGTTCTTGAGATATTATGATAACAATCTCAATGTATGGAATTTCATAAGTTGACCTCTGTGACCCTTGACCTTTGACCTACGTGCTCCAAAATCTAATCAGATTGTCTTCCTATGGTGATACATACTATCCTTAAGTTTGAAGTTTTTACATCTCCAGTGGTTCTTGAGATATCATGATAACAATCTCAATGTATGGAATTTCATAAGTTGACCTCTATGACCCTTGACCTTTGACCTACGTGCTCCAAAATGTAATCAGATTGTTTTCCTATAGTAATACACACTATCACTAAGTTTGAAGTTTAAATCTCCAGTGGTTCTTGAGATATCATGATAACAATCTCAATGTATGGAATTTCATAAGTTGACCTCTGTGACCCTTGACCTTTGACATACGTGCTCCAAAATCTAATCAGATCGTCTTCCTATGGTGATACATACTATCCTTAAGTTTGAAGTTTAAATCTCAAATGGTTCTTGAGATATCGCGCTAACAAACTCAATACAAGGAATTTCATAAGTTGACCTCTGTGACCTGTGACCTTTGACCTACGTACTCCAAAATCTAATCAGATCGTCTTCCTATGGTGATAAATACTATTCCCGAGTCTTAAGTTTAAATCTTAAATGGTTCTTGAGATATTGTGATAACGGTCAAACGGGACGGACGGACGTACGGACGTACGGACGGACGTACGGACGGACGGACGTACGGACGGACAACCCGAAAACATGATGCCTCCGGCACCACCTTCGGTGGCGGAGGCATAAAAAAAGAAGAAGAAGATATTGATAAGGAAATGATATATTCACAGAAAATTGCAGATATATAGTGTAAATAGATTTTTTTTTTTCCGACTTTGTATATTTGGACTATTCCCACATATGTGAATGATATTGTGACAGAGAAACATATATACAAAAACGAGTCACAAATACGGCAAGATAAAGATAAAAACAGAGAAACAGAGACAAGAGAGGGAGAGAAATAGAGAACGACAGAGGGAGAGAAGGACAGAGGGAGAGAAGGAGAGAGGGAGAGAAGGAGAGAATGATAGAGGAAAATAATGTGGAAGAGGAAGGGAGGGAGAGATAGAGAGACAGAGGCAGACAGACAGATACTAGTAGACACAGAGAGAGGCAGACAGACAGAGAAAGAGAGAAAGAGACAGACAGAGTGAGAGAGAGAGAGAGAGAGTAAGTGAGGCTAATTCTCATCTTGACCAGGATGTGGGTCAGGTTGATGACCTCCTTCTCAGACTTGAGAAGAATAAACAAAATTCTTTCAGAGAGAGAGAGAACACAGATTGATCTACCCCCCTCTAAGGGCAATCACACCTAACTCTGTATAATGCACTACAAGCGCGTCTTCAGGGACCTCTTCAGATTCGAGGACAGTGCCTTGAAGCGTGGCTCAGAAAGAGAAATTTGGCGCAATTTTCAGGTCACTCCCACCTTGCTCTTTAGAAGAGGGACACTCAAGACTGTCAGCCAAATAAGCTGCTTTTAATACACATACTATGGAAGCCTTGTGGAAATTAATTACAGGTCACATTCTAAATAGCCATGGTTGTTACTTTCAGATTACAATGTAACGATAAGATGATATAATGAAGACATAGACATAGAGACAATATTGTCAAGGTTCCCTCTTTTGGAATAAATTTTTCTGTTTTACACTTTACAGATAACCTTTAAAACATGAATTCCTTTCATTTCATGCCATACACATGTATTGCTGGTACCAGATATCTGAGTATAATCAGAAATTCAGAATACTTCTAAAAGTGAACATATCACTACATAACAATTTGATATCAACACAAATGAATTATAGAAATATAATGCAATATTGAATTTTCAATAATGCATCACAGAAATCCTTTTTAAATGTCAAATGTGAGATATTATGTGCCCCTTGTCTACCAATTATGTCAATCGAAATGTAGGGCTATGTAATCCAAATTTGACTATAATAAAATTGCCTGATGAGTGCTAATGCGTTAATGTTGGGTATAAAGGAGGGCATGGGTATAAAGGAGGGCATGGGTTATTGGGAACAGTGGGTAATGTCTAATGAGAACTTCTAGCAGAATCTCAAGTGTTTCTCATTTATGGGGGCTCCATGCACTTGACCACCATCATTCCTACGAAACTCACCCCATTCTGATTTACTCAAGCCGACGTAATGGAACGAACACCCACGAACCATGCAAACAATCTAGAACAATGATCGCCGTGGACTGAAGGTATAATCGCTAAAACATCATTTACGACAGAACTATAAACATATGCCAGTGACATCAATTTGGGGTTATCGCGAGAGAGAATGTAGGTCGCGCAAATAACAACGGCGTTCACCATCCCAACCTCACGACTCACACGTCTCCATGCTTGCAGTAATGACAGAAACACATAAGACGGGGTGTGTGTGCTGCAGAGACAGCGTTATTCAAGAGAGTTTGGACTTTGTCCTCCTATCTTAAAGTACTGTCGATCATCACCTAGCTCTACAACGGCTTCTTCAATCTCTATCTCTGGTTTACATGATCTTCTCAAAATTATACTTCGCTTTACTCACCTGTAGACTAAACTCACTACAATTTTGCCTCCCCAACTACATATACAGAAGCAGAAGTTGTTAATACTCAACATTTTGGCAACATTTTTAATCCCCTGAAATCCCATGTCATATACAGCATTCAGGACCCCACGCCTTTTAGAGTTACTGGGAACTACTGGTTATTACCTCACTGGGTTTACCTCAAATGACTTTAAAAATATGCTAAACAATGCGCATTGTCCAATATGGCTTTGTATACTTTTACACTTCTACTATTAAAAGAAAAATCTTCCCACCCATCCACACTTTAGATTAGACCATAAGGATTATAAAAGATGATATGAATCTATTTGAGTGCTGACTCTCTTGATCAAATCCGATAAATTGGTTGTGAAGTCTATGTACTCAAGTAATCGTAATAGTGAACTTCTTTTTCTCCCATTTTTTAAAAGGCAGATTTATCACGTCAAATTACACAGCTTCATTGCCTATTGCTGTCCGTCTCCCTTTATACCATTATGGCATTGCATTGTCAATAGTTGTACTGGTCTTTTTGAAGGCATCTGACGACAAAGCTGAACTAAAAAGAACAATTTACAAAGAGACAAGTCAAGGATCAGAGGAGCAACTAGAAAACAGATAAATAACATTTCTACTTGAAGCTCCAGAGGATATATATTTCCAAGAGAGTAAATTCCTGCACCTTGCCTCAAAGAAAAGCCAGTCTTTCTTATTGTCTGCTCTTAATCAGGGGGGGGGGGGGGGGGACCTTCTAGAAACACAAGCTAAGACCATGTTAAAATTAATATCAGCTTCAATCTAAGGACATACATCTTTAATGCTACTTCCAAGAACCTTTTCCATTCAACTCTACCAAAAAATATCACATTACAAATTCTTTTATATTTGAAACATGTCTGGCAATATCTCATGTAAGATTTCTCATGATTATGAAGATAATGTGAAATATATTTATTATTCATAATGGTTTATAGAGGTACATAAAACTTCAATACGCCAGAACACTTCTAATCTATGCATTTGAGGATTCGTATCAAAACAAGATTTATTCAGAGGAGAACGAACCAAAAGGGAGTGATGAAGTCTGGCAACAGTCTGAAAATTAATAAATTCTTAATATTTCAACAGCACTATACTTAAGAATTTCATGTTTTCCCACTTCAGAATATATTACTCCAAATATCATGATCAGCTACAAACTAGACAAAATCTTTTCAAAGGCTGTCATTATTCTATTTCAGATCAAGCGTCCTTTTTTTTTTCCAGACGAAAGTGATGTTTAGAGACTTTTTCAACTAATACCATTGTTTAATGTCTCATTAAAGTCACAATTCAACATTAATGTCTTCTAAGGACAAAAAGGCGAGAGATAGCACCTTTTAAAGTGATTAATTAGGTCAAGAATGCTCATAACTAATAACTTAACACCTCTGTGAGTTTCATTTAAAAATATACTACTTTCAGTTTTCAACATCAGATGTTGGAAGATGTCTGTATGGAGTGGGAATTTCACACGATGAATCTCTAAAATGTGATTTTCTTTAAATGCGCTGCTGAAGGTCTTGTGAACACTAGCAGGGTTTCCTTTAACATGAGGGACTTCATGACACCATGAGGCAGGCTGGTCTACGCAGGAAACACTCAGATTTCCTCCCTACTCCATGCTCCCGTTTAGAGCTAACTTTGGACCTTTACCCCCATGGAGGAGTGCATAAGGAAAGCAAACACGGTGATACCAACGTGTTTTCAAAGTAAACTTGA